CCACCGCGATCAACCCCTTACCAACCCCTTCCCAACGGCTCTGGATGAAGGGCATTCCTCCTTGGATGCTCGCTCAATGACCGCACCAAGTTCGCGAAGACCATGGAGGCGTGCTCTCGGTTCAAGAGCATGGGTGAGATGCATAAAGAGGCAGACGTGGTGTTGTTGAAGGCGATGAAGACGGAATTGAAGACGTTGATACATGACCCAGTCAAAGGCCCTATGTCAGTGGAGATTGATATTAGTGACGTTTGGTGGGAGTAGCTATTTTTTTCCTAGCAAATATGTGATACTTGAGTCAATCGAGTTCCTAACCACAACCTTTAATTTCCCCTGTTCGGTTACTAGAAGAGCATGGGGCGGGGCATTAATTCTTCATATTCTGAATATAAGAATTCATGGAACAGATTGGATTGCCCAGGGTTAAGCATTTAAACCGCGCCATAAAACACCAATTACACGAAGAGTCGAGTAAAAGAAAAGTCTGAAAGCCTATAGGCGAAGCTACCATTCGCTATCAGATGAAGAGAGCGACGACAATACATGAAAACCAGAAGCAGACCGCCCAAAGGACCCACTAGCTCTTCTTTCTCATTGGCAATTGTGTACCCTCTAGCTTTTCTTCATTATTTGAGCTAGCTTTTGTTCTCAAGTCACAACTATATATTATCTAGCTATGCAGTGTACCTTAACAAATCAATGTTCAATACATTGTATTTTATCATTCATCTTCCCATATACTCCCCGCCGCTCCTACTTGATCTTTCAACCAGCTAACCCAACAATGGGCCCGTAACTTCTGCCTTGCTAGTTTTCAACATGATGATCTAGTGCCTTGTATGTTAGGAATGATGATGCTACTATAAATGCCAAAAGGACTTGATGTGTAGCCTTACTGCAAGAGTATTCCATACATACAATGATTGCATCGCCTTGGGCACTATCATAAGTTCAATGCAAATCTCACTGAGTATTATGATAATTGTCTTGTCTAGGGGCTTGATGACATGATTAGCTCAAGTTTGTCATGAGTTAATTAATTTAGTTAGGGGCAGATGTTTTACTTACTGATATAGTGACATGGTTGCTATTGTAATATTTATAACTGAGTTTGTACCTGCAGCCTCCGGATACTGCAGCTCGATCAGTCGCAAATATTTAGTTTGTCAATGACACACGCAGATCGTTCTATCTTCAGTTACTGCAATTATCTGGCCTGTTTTCCCATTTTCACAAAAAAAGAATGTGTAACGTTATTGTGTTTCATATAAATAAATATATACATGTGTTACGGCATTACAGTTGAACAAAACAGAGGGTGGAACCCTTCTTGAAAGACTTACTGTCTATCAGCAAGCAAAACAAGAGGTAAAATGTGTAGGAAAATGAATTTGCATCATCATTTTTCTTGACTTGCAAAGATGTTTCTGGCTTACTCAGGATCTGCAACCACCAGCGTGCTATCCCAATTCCCAGATGACAGATGAATGGAAAGGTTGATGGATTAAAGGTTGGCTGTTGGGCGCAAGTGATTGATTTAGCTCAACATTTTACATTCCCTGTAATCTTTTCCCCGTGCCCACAGGGATGAGTTGGCAGTAGATTTGGAGAAATCGATTAAAGGGAAGCCTCCATCCAGCCATGTTAGCAAAGTTTGTGAGGCCGAGGATAGATGACCGCCGCTACCTGTGTAGGGTTCGTTCTTCAGTAAACAGAGCGTTTGTTCTTCAGTAAACAGAGCATTTGTTCTTCAGTAAACAGAGCGTTTGTTCTTCAGAATAAACAGAGTGTTTGTTCTTCAGAGTAAACAGAGTGTTCATTCTTCAGTAAAACAATATGTTCGACTTAAAGAACAAGCATGTTGTATAATAATCGGCGCGGTCGTTGGCTTTGGTGAACCTTGGACTGAATCCATCCACAAAAGAGATTTTGCATTGTCAAGGCAAAAGAATCAAACTGCTGAACATGTGAAACGTTCATACTAGCCTGCAAGCAGGAAGTGCTGCACCATTCATTCGTCAGACTAATACAATACCAGCATTTCCGTTCCATTCAGACCAACTGGCAAATCATAGGCAGCACAACTAGCAAAAGGAACTAGATTACATTCCATCCAAACCAGATCAACAAGAGGACTAAGGCGTTCACAAAGCATGAAGATTTACTGTCAGAGCAAAACAAAATCCGTTTCATTCAGATTACTGCCATGGACAAATCACAGGCAGCAGACAAGAACAAGATTGCAAGCATTCCATTCCAACCAGATCCACCCTCGATACACGCACCAACAAGAACATTGGCCAAGACGAACTAATCTACCAACCTAAAAGCACCACACCACCACGCGACACCACTCATCAGATCTCTGACGCTCTAGAACTCCTGGGACTGGGAGGCGGACCCGCCGGTGCCGGCGCCCTTGCCGACCTTCTTGGGGAGGAGCACGGAGTGGATGTTGGGCAGGACGCCGCCGGCGGCGATGGTGACGCCGCCGAGCAGCCGGCTGAGCTCCTCGTCGTTGCGGACGGCGAGCTGGATGTGGCGCGGCGAGATCCGGGTCTTCTTGTTGTCGCGCGCCGCGTTGCCGGCCAGCTCCAGGGCCTCGGCGGCGAGGTACTCGAGGACGGCGCAGAGGTAGACGGGGGCGCCCGCGCCCACGCGCTTCGCGTAGCGGCCGACCTTGAGGTGCCGGGCGACGCGGCCGACGGGGAACTGCAGGCCCGCCTTCACCGACCGCGACACCGACTTGCTCCCCTTCGGCTTGCCCCTCCCGCCGCCGGCTGCCGCTGTCGCCATCGCTAGGGTTTGGTGGGGAGGTAGGGTGGTACTGCGGTTGTCGCCGGAGAGATGGCCGGAGTAGGTGAGATTGTAGGGGGCAGAGGATGCTCTGAGAGATTGGTGGTGGATTGGCGCGGGCGGGGGTGGGTTATATGGTGGAGGGTGGGCGCGCGTGATTGGTGGGGAGGGCGAGGCCGCGGATCGGTGACGTGGAGGGGTGCGATGCCGTCGGATGGGGCGGTGCGGGAGGGAGAGGATTTTGGGTTTGGCGCGGATCGCGGGTTTTGGAGGGAGACGCGAAACTTTCGAAAAATGGGTTGAGAAGGGAATCCTCTGCGTTTTCGCTATCCGCGCACGGGCATTTTTTTTTCTCTCCCAAATGAAACAGCATATTCACCGCAAAATAAAAATGAAACAGCATATGGATGTCAAACTTCTCGTGTCAATAAAACATCAGAACTACCCGCAAAACAAACATCAGAGCTACAATGTGCAAAAAAATTGTTCTTTGTCCAAAATAAATATATAAATATGGTACTCCCTCCGTCCCATAATATAAGAACGTTTTCGACATTGGTGTAGTGTCAGAAATGCTTTTATATTGTGGGACGGAGGGAGTAATAATTTTTTATAACTAAGTACTCCCTCCGTCTCATAATATAAGATGTTATAATAACCAATATACTTCTATATTTGTTGTAATAACATCTAATTATGGGATAGAGGTGGTATTATTTTAAGTATCTATAGATGCAAAAAAACTTAGTTGAACTTGAAAATTTAAAGTCCATAACTTTACTATTATTAATGGGGAGTCTATCGTCGTCGTTGTTGTTGTTGTCTTGATGGTTACATCCACTCCTCCCCTTCTACGTGTAAAATTCTCCCCGCATGAGAAAAAAATTTGAATCTCCTTCTGATCGATCTGGATCTAGAGTGGTCGCCGGTTTGCCACCCATCATGTTCCTTGCGCTGGCCTGATAAGAGAGACAGAGGGCAGAGAGGAGCATGGCGGCAGTGCCGATCATGGAAGAGATAAGCAGGAGCGGCCGAGCTAGCGAGGGAGGAAGAGCATCCCTGTGCTCACCTCCCTCACCTCCTTAAGCGCGACCTGTAAGCGGTTGTGACCCATGCATGCATAGTATACCGTGTAGTAGCCCTAGATTGTTGTGGTTGTCGCTGCTTGATCCTTCCCCGCCCCATCGTCATCCCTGGGTGTCGCCATGGCTACTCCTCCCCAAGGTGCCTCCCCTCTCCACACCCACCCCCTTACCCGACCGCATTGTCGTCGTCTCACTTGAAGTTCGCCAACGTCATTCTCTCCTCCCCCACCCCTTCTCTGTCTTGAGTGTCCTCTTCACCGCTCCTCTCCGTGTCACTCCACTAGCCAAGGTCGTTGTCCACCCACCTCTATGCGCGCCACCTCCACGGAAGGATGTCGCTCCTGCTGCTCTATAAGGTAGTTTGCCCCCCTCCACTTTTGTATCCACTCCTACTTACGCTATCGTATTTGCATGGGACCAAATCACCATTTTGAGATTTGGTATATTACAAGTAAGGAGAATAGAGCTGCCACATACTCTTGTTTTGTTCTCAAACTATAAGAGGGAGAAGGTATTTTTGAGATGTTTGAATTGGACAAGGGGTGCATGACTGATAAAACAGAAAATGTTATCTTTGTGTTGGAGAAGGGGTGCAATTAACCTCTTGGGTACAAAAGCACTTTGTTTGATAGATATAAACTCTACCAAGATTGGTCAGAATCTCTTTGCTAAACATTTCGCAATCACTTTGTATAACACAATACATAGGCTGATGGGATGTAATTCTTTTAGATTGGCTGGTTGGTCCACTTTTGATATGAGGACGATGGCTATATGGATGATGTTGGGTGGCATCTTACCCGACGCGAAGAAGAGTTTAACAGTCAGAATAACTTGTTCTTTCAGGATTCCCCAATTACGTTCGTAGAACCTTGCTGGGAAGCCATCAGTACCCATCACTTTTAACGACCCAATTTCAAAGAGTGCATTAGATATCTGTTGATGTCTACTAAGCAACCTTCTTCTTGTAGACTCGTGTTGGGTCTTCAAGTGCAGAGTTTTGTAGGACAGTAGCAAATTTTCCTCAAGCGGGTAACCTAAGGTTTATCAATCCATGGGAGGCGTATGATGAAGATGGTCTCTCTCAAACAACCCTGCAACCAAATAACAAAGAGTATCTTGTGTCCCCAACACACCCAATACAATGGTATATTGTATAGGTGCATTAGTTCGGCGAAGAGATGGTGATACAAGTTTAATATGGATGGTAGATATAGGTTTTTGTAATCTGAAAAATATAAAAACAGCAAGGTAGCAAGTAACAAAAGTGAGCGAAAATGGTATTGCAATGCTTGAAAATAAGGCCTAGGGTTCATAATTTCACTAGTGTAAGTTCTCTCAACAATGATAACATAATTAGAACATATGGCAATCCCTCAACGTATGGCAAAAGTCACTCGAAAGTTCCTATCGCGAAGAACATAAGATGAAATTGCCTGTAGGGTACGAAACCACCTCAAAGTTATTCTTTCCGATCAATCCATTGGGTTATTCCTATAAGTGTCACAAACAACCCTAGAGTTTGTAGTAAAATAACACCATATGACACACATCAATCAACCCTAATGTCACCTAGATACTCCAATGTCACCACAAGTATCCGTGGGTCAATTATACGATATGCATCAAACAACTTCAGATTCATAATATTCAATCCAACATAAAGAACCTCAAAGAGTGCCCCAAGATTTCTATTGGAGAAACAAAGACGAAAACGTGCATCAACCCCAATGCATAGATTACCCCAATGTCACCTCGGGAATCCGCGAGTTGAGTGCCAAAACATACATTAAGTGAATCAATAGAACACCCCATTGTCACCACGGGTATCCCACGCAAAACATACATCAAGTGTTCTCAAATCCATAATAGTATTCAATCCAATAATAGTGAAACCTCAAAGGTAAAATTCAATTCATCACAAGAAGGTAGAGGGGAGAAACACCATATGATTCAACTATAGTAGCAAAGCTCGCGGTACATCAAGATTGTGCCAAATCAAGAACACGAGAGAGAGAGAGAGAGAGAGAGAGAAATCAAACACATAGCTACTGGTACATACCCTCAGCCCCGAGGGTGAACTACTCCCTCCTCATCGTGGAGAGCGTGGGATGATGAAGATGACCACCAGTGATGGTTTTCCCCTCCGGCAGAGTGCCGGAACGGGCTCCCGATTGGTTTTTCGTGGCTACAGAAGCTTGTGGCGGCGGAATTCCCGATCTAGGTTTATTTCTGGGGGTTTCTATATCTATATGAATTTTTGCCGTCGGGAACAAGTCAGGGGGGTCCACAAGGCGACAACAAGATAGGGGGGCGTCCTCCACCCTTGTGGAGATCTCGTGGCTCTTATGGCCCAACTCTTTTGCTTCGGGGGCTTCTTCTGGTCCATAAAAATCACCGTAATTTTTTAGCTCATTTGGACTCCGTTTGATATTCCTCTCCGTTTGATATTCCTTTTCTACGAAACTCAAAAACAAGGAAAAAACAAAAATTGGCACTGGGCTCTAGGTTAATAGGTTAGTCCCAAAAATCATATAAAATAGCATATAAATGCATATAAAATATCCAAGATATATAATATAATAGCATGGAACAATAAAAAATTATAGTAACATTGGAGACGTATCATCTGCCTATCCGAGAAATCCCTTCATTGTTCGGGAACGTAGCAGAATTTTAAAATTTTCTACGCATCACCAAGATCAATCTATGGAGTCTTCTAGCAATGAGAGGAAAGGAGTGCATCTACATACCCTTGTAGATCACGAGCGGAAGTGTTCAAAAGAACGGGGTTGATGGAGTCGTACTCGTCGTGATCCAAATCACCGATGACCTAGCGCCGAACGGGCGGCACCTTCATGTTCAACACACGTACAGTTGGGAAGACGTCTCCTCCTTCTTGATCCAGCAAGGGGAATGAGAGGTTGATGGAGATCCAGTAGCACGACGCGTGGTGGTGGAAGCAGCGGTGATCTCGGCAGGGCTTCGCCAAGCTCCAACAAGAGAGAGAGAGAGGTGTTACGAGGGGAGAGGGAGGGGCCAGGGACTTGGTGCGGCTGCCCTCCCTCCCCCCCCCCACTATATATAGGGCCCCTAGGGGGGCCGGCCCTAGAGATTGGATCTCAAGGGGGGGGGCAAGGGGGGTGGCTTGCCCCCCAAGCCAAGTGGGGCGCCCCCACCCCTAGGGTTTCCAACCCTAGGCGCACCAGCCCACCAGGGGCTGGTTCCCTTCCCACTTCAGCCCATGGGGCCCTCCGGGACAGGTGGCCCCACCCGGTGGACCCCCGGGACCCTTCCGGTGGTCCCGGTACAATACCGGTGACCCCCGAAACTTTCCCGATGGCCGAAACTGGACTTCCTATATATAATTCTTCACCTCCGGACCATTCCGGAACTCCTCGTGACGTCCGGGATCTCATCCGGGACTCCGAACAACTTTCGGGTTACCGCATACTAATATCTCTTCAACCCTAGCGTCACCGAACCTTAAGTGTGTAGACCCTACGGGTTCGGGAGACATGTAGACATGACCGAGACGACTCTCCGGTCAATAACCAACAGCGGGATCTGGATACCCATGTTGGCTCCCACATGTTCCATGATGATCTCATCAGATGAACCACGATGTCGAGGATTCAATCAATCCCGTATACAATTCCCTTTGTCAATCGGTACGTTACTCGCCCGAGACTCGATCGTCGGTATCCCAATACCTCGTTCAATCTCGTTACCGGCAAGTCACTTTACTCGTACCGTAATTCATGATCCCGTGATCAACCACGTGATCAACCCATAGACCCGCTAAGTATTTGGGGCAGTTCCGCTTCCAGTGACCACTTCCTTTGCAATAAAAACACTCAGTCTCGGGCTTGGGTCCATTCTTTGGCTTCTTCCCGGGCGCGGCAACCCCCTTGC